CAGGCTTGTTATTCAAATATCCAACAGAAAGAGGCAACTGCAGGCTAATCTTGGGGCGATTAAAGGGAGAAATGTTCTCCCGCTGGTACAGGGCTAATGTCAGCCATGAAATGGACCAAGGCCTCATGCCACTCCCCACCTAAAAAAGGAATTACACACAGCTTAAATACACGCTCTCTGAAAAGCTCATGCACAGAGCTGCTTTCTGAAGGTGGTTTCGGAACACCTACAGAGAATCTCATGATTTCATCACCCATGCATTTGCTGGGGATTAGAGCCCCCATTTTGCAGTGCCCATTACTCTATCACAATTAAATCTTTTTCCTTTTCCTTCCCCTAGTAAATAAGATGCTGAAGCTGCGATTCACAACTGCTCAAGTCCTGGGAATAGCACGGCTTGTGGTACCCTACCCAGCTCTTATTAAAACACGCCTCCGTATGCTACAAAGTCCTCTTGATCAATACATCGACTGCGGTATAAACCTTAAAGAAAGCACTGTTACACGTGAAGTACGCACTGTTCTTGTCTTAGTAGGTTATTTAGAAGCATAAAAAGGCAAAACCTTTTGGAATTGGCATCTGGACATTTGTGCCAAGGAAACTGCAGATGGAATATACATTAAATTTATTCCGTCATTGATTGGAAACGCTGATCCTTTATGGCTTCACGTTTCTTTCCTCATTAATCTTAGTTAACCCTCTCAAAACAACGCCAGCTTTGTCGGTCCAAGTATCTAAAACCCACCATGCAGAGACGGCAGCTTTTTAAGAAGGGTTTGATTCCTAGCATGAGTAAATCAGCCAACAACTCCTGTCTTAGGAAATGCCACTGCTTTCTTTTTTTAAAATATTAAAACAAGAAAGAACAGCCTTCTACACAACATGGGAGGCAGACGAGAAGGCGATGTTAGCAGATCCCGGAGGAAATCCCACGGATAGCCAGAGAAGAGATGAGAAGGAAGCTCCAGCACACACCCAATGTCACCCACGACCAGAACCTGGCATGGCCAGGTGCACACAGGAAGTCTGCAGGTCAATGTTTGGTGACTTCCACCGCTCAAGAAGAGGTGCTTTCCAGTCAAATATACGTCTGGGTTCTGGGGATAAACACGAAAGGAATATTCTCAGATGTAATGATTGTGTTCCCTGCACCCCAATTTGGCTAATTGATATGATACTAACATTCCATTTTTCTGCCAAACAGAAAGAAATGCCTGGCATCCCTACTTCCTTGCCCACAGCAGTACAGGGACCTTAGATAAGCCTCATGCTGCCAACAGCTGACCCAAATTGCCCTGCTGCCCCTCAGAACGGGCCACAGCTGCCCTATTCTTCCTAACAGCCTTGCAACTGCACACCAACCCCAACCTCTTTCTGTTTCTCTTACTGGTCCCTTGTAACAAGAGGCAGAAAAAAAGAGAGGAAGAGAAGAAATACTATGAAAACCTGAACACAAAATTCTTAATTTCTTCTAATTCTAGAAGAAATAGAGATTTCCTAGAAAGAAATAGTAACGATCACCACCTATTTACTATAGCAAAAATTTTAAAATATTAACACAGGACTTAAAACTCTATCTGCTGCCATGAAGCAGGCATTTAGCTTAGTGCAACCTTATGAATGGAGCTCCAGAAGGTGAAAGCCATTTTCGAATTCATGAAAAGATCAACATCTGAATATATATTAAAGATAAAGTCTAAATAATTCATAAGAGGCAGAAGAACACCAGCCTAACTTCTAGGTAGATGTGGGAGCCACTGGTCCCTGCTGAGGGGACAGAGCCCTGGGGAAGGAGGTGCTACACGGATTACGCTCATATTGCATCCCGAGGCCTGGCTTTAAATGGCAGGCTGTCTTATTGGAAGGAAAATATAAATCTCTCAACCCAGAAGAAGATGTGAGCTCAGCACAAAGTGGGAAACAATAGCTGGAAAGTAATGGCAGAACTTTTGGATGAGACACAAAAAGTTGGTCCTCGTATGATTTATCTTCGTGTATCTAGTTGTTTGTAAACAGCGGTTGAGATCATCCTTGAGTACCATGATTTAGAAAGGCCCTAGATGCTCAGAATCTGCCTGGGGCACAGGAGACGGGAATAGCATTCTCCCTGAGACTGAGTAGCACCCCGTCTACCCCGTCACCACATGCCGTCACCAGCAGAGGGCCATCTTATGGGATCTGTCAGGCTTCCCTCCCTCCCCTTCCAAGCAGAAATGAAGAGCAGTTAGGAGTCACAGCACCGGCTCTGAACTGTGGCTCCATCATCCTCTGCCCAGGTGACAAGTTCTCTAATTTCTGCACGCCTTTGTCACCTCCACTACAGCTGGAGATTCTGTCTCCTACCCAGTGGCCTTTTGGCCCTCAGAACAGCCCCCCAGGGTGCTCTAGAAGGCCACGTCCCTCCTTCGCCACTTGCATTCTTCCTCACACCCCCAGCTACGGATGATTCCTGTCTACTTCCGAGGAAAGAGAAAATCACCTATTATAAGAACAGTCGAACAAATGAGCATGGAGCTTTGAAGGCTATTCCCAAAAGTGAGTTGGAATGTGCGTTTGAGCAATGCTCCACTTCGGTGGGGTCACTTGGCTTCCCAAAGTGACTCTGGAAAACGTTACAGATACCAGGGAGCCCTGGCCTAGCTGTTTGCAAAGCCACCTCTCTGCCTTCATCTGAAAGTCAGAGCTTATCAGAAACACCCAAACATCTGGAAAATTCTTTTTTCTCTCCAACGGTGAACCAACCCACTGCCAAATGAGTGTACCACAAGATAGTGAGGGTCCGATTACATTACCTGTCCTGCCTGTCGCATCCGTGAGGTACCAGCTCTGTGGCCCAGTGTTTGCTCTGCCTGTGAGCAGCTTTGACAGAGAGGCCTGCCTGGGCTGGGTGCTGGTGACAGGCACCTCATCACATTCCGTGGACTCTTCTGACAGAGACAGGACCCCTGGGGGTGGAATGCTGTGACCTCTGCAAGAATCAGCACTCAGCGTCGCTCTGCCCGGAAGCCTCCGCTTTGCTTACAGCATCTCCCCTCTAATGCCAAAGGGAGAGGAGCACTCCTTTTGGTCAGGAAGAGAAGAGGCGCACTCCTTCTGGGCAGGAAGAGTCATCTCTGCCAGGCGTTTCAGCCTCTGTCCAGGGTCAGCCTCCCTCTGTTCTGGGAAGCCTGCCCTCCTGTCCCCAGGTGGAGGAATGGAACCTGAGGGTGGGGTCTGCTCAAGGCGGGTAGGCTCCCAGGCTTTACTCAAGGTGGCAGGGGTGGGGGGTGCAAAACCCAGACTCAGTGTAGACCAACCTGCTTCTCCCCATGGCCTTCCCCTCTCTCCGAGACATGCTGCCCAGACCTGCAAGCCAGGCATTAGAGGCCTCTTCAGTCTCTCTCTGTGCCTCTCTCTGCCTTTCGACAATCAATAGCTTGGCCACAAAGCCTTACAACCTTCCCTTCAGAATATTTTCCCGGAGTTGGTGGTGCAATTATCTGGCACACAGAGTGCTCGGCATGGCTCCTGGTAATAAGCATTCCCCACAATTCTGCACCAATTGGCATATGCATGTGTGTAGGTGTGCATGTGGATGGATTTTCCATGCACGACAGCCTTCTCCGGCTGCCCTCCTGCCCTCATTCTTCCTCTACTTGGACTCCGGGTTGGGGTGGGGGATGAGAAGTCTTTTAAATTATCAATCTGCATACTCATTCATCTGCTTAGACCCCTCAGTGGCTTCCTGTCATCCCCAGGGACAAGTCTAGAATTCCTCACCACCTTACAAGGTCCTCTCGATCTGTTCCCACCACCTCTCCAGGGTCCCCTCTCCACTTCCCTCCAGGGCTCCGTCCCCACTATCATCTCTGCACACTCCCCTAGACCGCACCATCCACCGTGTAGCCACTAGCCACATCTGGGCATTCAGATTTACATTTAAGTTAATTTAAAGTAAATGAAATCAAATATTCAGTTCTTTCATTGCACTAACCACACTGCATGCTCAGCTACCATCCTGGACAGCACAGATGAAGACCATTCCCAGAAGGGCGTCCTGGGTGGTGTCGCTCCAGACCAACAGATGGCTGCTCAGTCTCTCCAAAGAAGCACGGCCTTTCTCCTAGGAGTGTGCCCCCATGTTGGGGAATCTGGGAACATATCAGGAATCCCTGTCAAGATCTAACCCCATACTATATTTGTAAGCATCATTCTTCTTAATTTATTTGACTGGTTTTGTTCCTGAACTGTTTCATCAGCTCTTGGGTGATAGACTCCAAGTGTAGCAAGCAAACTACCCCTTACCCTGACCGCCCCTTACCCTGACCGCCCCTGAACCCAACCGCCCCTGACCCTGGCCGCCCCTGACCCTGGCCGCCCCTTACCCTGACCACCCCTGACCCTAACCGCCCCTTACCCTGGCCGCCCCCTACCCTGGCTGCCCCTTACCCTGACCGCTCCTTACCCTGGCCACCCCTTATCCTGGCCGCCCCTTACCCTGACCGCCCCTTACCCTGACCGCCCCTTACCCTGGCCACCCCTTAGCCTGACCGCCCCGACCCTGGCCGCCCCTTACCCTGACCGCCCCTTAGCCCGACCACACCTTAGCCTGACCACCCCTTACCCTGACTGCCGCTTACCCTGACCACCCCTTAGCCTGACCACCCCTTACCCTGACCGCCGCTTACCCTGACCGCCCCTGACCCTGACCACCCCTTACCCTGACCACCCCCGACCCTGGCCGCCCCCGATCCTGACCACCTCTGACCCTGACCACCCCTGACCCTGACCGCCCCTTACCCTGACCGCCCCTTAGCCTGACCACCCTCTGACCCTGACCACCTCTGACCCTGACCACCCCCTGACCCTGACCGCCCCTTACCCTGACCGCCCCTTACCCTGGCCGCCCCTTACCCTGACTGCCCCTTAGCCTGACCACCCCTTACCCTGGCCGCCCCTTACCCTGACCGCCCCTTAGCCTGACCACTCCTTAGCCTGACCACCCCTTACCCTGACCGCTCCTTAGCCTGACCACCCCTGACCCTGACCACCCCATCAGGCAGGGCCTGATGGCAAATTCCACTTTCCTAGTGTGTGTTTTCTAAAGCAAATCTGCCTCCCCCTATGTCGTGTCCAAGCCTGTCCTTGCAGGCGTCCCCATCAGCCTGGGTGTAGGTGCATCACACAGGGTGCTTCATGTTTCTGAATACACCCATGGGTGTCCTTTCTTCTTTGGTCTATGGAATCCAGAGACTCTCCCTTGCACACTCTGCAGCTACCGCTGGAGCAGCAGAGCTGGAGGGTCACCACCCGTCTCTACCACACAGCCCGACGCTCCTGCTTGGGGCCATTTGGCCAGGCACAGCTTGGCCCTGCACACATGGTCATCCAGACTTTGAGACATGGAACGAGGCCAGAAGTTCAGAACCTACCCGCCTGGTGCACCCAAAACCTCACGTGAGTGACCCCCTTTCATTAAGACATGAGAGCCTCTAACTAATATGAAAAGAAAGAAAAAGTTATCCAGGAGAGGAAACAAGCCAACGACTGCCATGCGTTCATGCCTAGTCACCAACTAGCACAAGACAGCTGTCACTATCAATGCGTGAAGACAACATGAGGGGCTGCAGCCTGGAAGGGGCCTGGCGCTTCTGAGGGTGAGCGAGAAGAAGAAGAGGGAAGGACAAGGGTGGAGGGAGTGGAGCCTCATCCCCAGCCCGCCCCAGTCCGCTCAATGCCCGCTCTGTTCTTCCCAAACACACTGGCCCACCTGGTAAGTAACTTGCACAATGAACTGCTTCAACATCAAAATAGTAATAATGAGGCACCTTCTCAAGGATCTCCTGGGAAACTTGCCTTTGGTTAAGGAATTGCTAGCCCTGGAAAGCAGTGGGAATCCTGCAGTAAGTGGGCTTGTTAAGATCAGCTGGCAGGGTCCCAGCAAGCTGCTCCACGATGAGAATCACTAAACATCATTGCAAAGAGTGCAGAGTAATTCCACTGACCAGAGAGAAAAGGAAGATGAAGTTAATTAGCGCCACAAAAGTGGAGACCAAACCCCAGACTTGCCACAGCGCCTTCGCTGACCAGCGGGCTTGGAGGAAATCCGAAGGAGACCTGTGGGTTGCAATTATCCATCCTTTGTGGCCTCTGGAGGCCGTGAGTACCTTGGTGACCACAGCCAGAGAGTGGCTCCCATCTGCAGGACTTCAATAGTTCCACTCCATTGGCCTCTGGGAGTCCTGTAGAGACCAAATCACATGCATTATTGGAGGAGACAGCAGAAGGGGGTGAGCACAAGGACAGAACTTACAGCTGTACCCTGAGGTTCCCATTGTGGAACTAGGAAGCCCTGGTACCCAAGGGCGGCCACCACTGGACCCAGCAGCCAACTGGGAGACGGCACAGGGAGAAGCTTTGGGAGCCTCCAATCCACTTGAGCCTTTGTGCCTGGACCCATCTTTCCAGAGAGGCAAGACAGGCAGGGTGGAGGAGCAAGCAGCCAACCTCCTCATTCCTCTCCACCGAATGTTCGCCCCTGCCTGGGAGGCCACCTGTTCCTCCCCGTGCAGGGATGCAGCTTCTGTTTGCAAGTGGTACAGTGAGATTTTGCCACTCCTAAAGCTCCTTAGCCCTGTGTCAGGGGTTGTCACTCTAGGCCCCACTTCCCAGGGCAGGCTCCAAACCTGTCATGCCGGGCTAAGAAAAGGGCTCCGCATGAGCATTGCACGGGTGCCCTTGAACTGCACGTCTCCTACTTCACACTTGGGCAGCAGTCCTCAGAAAGGGAATACTTTTGGTTGGGACATGAAGCTTTTTCCCTCTCGTGCAGCCCCTGGAATGGAAGCGCACCATGGAGATGAGTTCACACATTTGCCAGTTTCCTTCCTTAAGTTGACATAAACCAGCATTTGGTTTCCATCCAACACAGAAGAACCTTCAGTGCTGGAAACAGTGGATGCAATTCATGGTTTAAAATGGAACAAAAACACCAAATGAGAGTGTTTCGGGGGCTCTACGATTGGTGACAAAGTGCTTCATTTTGACTGCTAAGGACCAGGTACTGCACCAGCAGTGCTAGCTTAGGAGAGCCTGTCTTCTTCACACCGTGCTCCCTAAAATAGCCAGACACGGCATTTCCATCCTATTCCACTGACTCAGGGACAGAAAAAAAAATCACCCCGAAAAGCACACTGACTAAGACCTTGCACTGCGTACTGGCCACCGCCCAGGTAGAGGGTCCAACACTGATCTGTCCTCGATTTCTTTCCCAAATACCAACCCATATAGAATTAAGTGGGCTCTGTGATGCTAACATGATTTGCCTTTATATTCCTCCCGTCATGAAGCGTCCCGGCAGTGGGGTTGCAGTAGCCACAGGCTGTCCTTGCTCCTGCCTGCTGAAGCCGCCGGCTGCTGGCTATGGCACACCGCTGATCAGCCGGCCCCCAAGGCGATGGCTTAACAAGCCCCAATAGAAGCGGATGGGAGGGGCTTCCCTCTTCCCTCTGCAAAGAAAATGAAATGGATAAAAACAATATTGGGAAGTCATTCACCCCCACCCATATCCATCATCACACAGGAGTGGGCTGGCAAAGGATCATGACCCATGTGAGGATTATACAGCCAAACCCACGGCCACCTCTGCCACCGCCCCCCATCCCACCCAGTTAAGAAATCCCAGTTTGCTTGGACACCATCTGGTTCTCAGACTCTCTGCCCTCACACTCTTAGCTCTGCACATGTAAAATTACAATAACCAGAAAGGAACCTACCAGAGGCTTTAAGGATTGATCATTATATCACCTATGAAAATAGACTGAAATTATTTTCTTCCTAGGCCGGCTGCAGTGGCTCACGCCTGTAATCCCAGCATTTTGGGAGGCCAAGACGGGTGGATCACCTGAGCTCAGGAGTTCGAGACCGGCTGGCCAATATGGTGAAACCCCATCTCTACTAAAAATACAAAAATTAACTGGGCATGGTGGCAGGTGCCTGTAATCCCAGCTACTCAGGAGGCTGATGCTAAAGTATTGCGTGAAACCCAAGAGACAGAGATTGCAGTGAGCCAAGATTGCACCACTGCACTCCAGTCTGGGCAACAGAGCGAGACTCCGTCTCCAAAAAAAAATGAAAAGACAATACTCTAGGAAGAAAAATTCAGAAATCTATCTCAGACTTTAGGGTTAGGGCTAGAATGATGGTGTGGGTTAGACTGGAGTGTAATTGACAAAGGAGCAGTTTTGGGTTTTTTTTTTTACCTTAATCTAGGTGGGATAAGTGAATAAAATGAAACACATCTAGAGATAAATGTAATTTTTCTTCATCCTAAAGTGAATGGGAAGACGATAAAATCATTTAAGCAAAGGGACAACGTGATAGATTTGAGTTTTAGAAAGATCAAGAAGGGAGGCAGCCGGGTGTAGGGAGAGCTGTGCGTTGGGATGGGTGCCCTCCACGTCTTTCCAGTCTCACGGATGCAGATATCACTGGAACAGAGAGATGCCTGCCCTCACGGGGCTTACAGTCTAACTGGGGGAGACTGAAAGCAAGCTGAAGAAAACATGTGCACCAAAGTGCTGGGGAGGGAGATACGCAGGGACGGGGAGGGCATCCATGGGGTGAGGGGACCCGATTTTAACAATAGTGTTCATCAGTATCTCAGGCCCTTTCCACATAGTTTGAGACTTTTATCAAGTTGTCGTCCATATGTTGGGGCCACCAGCAGTGGATGCAGGAGGGCACTGAAGCAGAAAGAATAGCAGGGGCTATAGGTACCGTGGCCACCGTGCTCGGGAGAGCAGCAGCCTCAGTAGGAGAGGGACCATGACCTTCAGATCTGCAAAGCCGACCATGGTGAACGCTGATGTTTGAAACTCACCTCCCCTGCTATCCCCATCCACCTGGCCTGCACACCTAACTCCCTACAAACCAAGGGGCCTTAGGGGATTCTGGCTCACGTATTGAAGTGGTCAGCCGGTTATTCACTCGAGCAGTCATTCTAAAGATGTTTATTGAACATCAGAGGTGCTTGACACTAAAGCAGTGAGAACAGCAGATGCCAAATCACAGAGTTGAGACAAGCCCAGACTGTCTTAGAATGGCCAGGTGGTTCGGTGTGGCTGCAACATGGGGATATGGTCAGGAGGAGCAGAAGTAAAACTGGAGGAGGCTACTGGGACTGGGCTAGGGCGGACCCAGTAGGCCACAGCGAGGGCCTTGACCTTTCCTGCAGGCAGTGGTGTGCAGGGCTTCAGGGTGGAGCTGGCACTGAAGCGAGGAGGTGGGTTGGGAGAGACTGTGGACAGGGACATTAACAGGAGCCCACTGCAATCATCCAGGGGCAAAACAGTGAGGCCAAGCATGAGGAAGGGCAGTGGGGTTGCTGGAGAAGGCTGGGGAGGCAGTGCAGGCTGGAGTGGCAGGCATGTCACCCTGAGAAGATATCCTCAGGAAGTAAAGTGTGTTCTGGGCTGCAAATGAAGTGTCAACTGGAACAGGGGTCTCATCTCCGGGCCTGACTGGAAGGAATCACAAGCCTGTGCTCGTGGTAGTTGACAGGATTCAGTTCCTCACAGCTGTAAACAGCCTTGGCTTGTCTGCTTGCTGCTGCCTGGGGGCCACCCTCAGCTTCAACAGGCTGAGGGACGGTTCCTGTCCATGGGATGTCCCCACTTGCTTCCTCACAGCCAGCAGGGAAGGAAAGACCCAGCAGGACTAGCACCATCATCTTACCTCACGTAGTCATATAATCACAGGCATCCCGTCACCTATCCTGTGTTCTGTTGTTTAGAAGCAAGTCACAGAAGGCCACCCAGGAACACAGAGCCCTCCAAGGAATGTCATGCTCTTCACTAATGCAGAAGGAGGGGAGGGCAGATGAGTTCTGACCTAGATCAGGGAATGAAGGCACCTGTGCATCACCAGAAACAGGGGTCAGGTTCTCAGCAGCAAGATCAAGGATGGAGAAAGAGATGCAAGAACCAATAACCCCTGAGTGGCAGGTGAGCAGGAGGGGCTGGATGGGGCCATCCAGCCAAGAGTATGGTCACAGCCAGTGTAGGCAAGAGCAGATGTGTCTCCCTGACCCCAGCTCCTTTCCAAACACAAATACAAATTGTTTCCTGCCAGGAACCAGGAGGGAGATTAATCAATAAAGCCGCTGAAAAAGACCACATATTGCGTGATTCCATTGATATGAAATGTCCAGAAAAGGCAAATCTATAGAGGAAAAAAGTAGATGGTGGTTCCCTGGGGCTGGGTGGGAATGGAGGGAGCCACAAATAGGCACAAGGGATGTTTTCGGGTTGATGAGAAGGTCCTAAATTTAGATAATGCAGCTCTGTGAGTGGGCTAAAAATTGTTGACGTGTACTTAAAACAGGCACATTTTATGTTATTTTTTTTTTTTTGAGACAGATTTTCGCTCTTGTTACCCAGGCTGGAGTGCAATGACGCGATCTCGGCTCACCGCAACCTCCGCCTCCTGGGTTCAGGCAATTCTCCTGCCTCAGCCTCCCGAGTAGCTGGGATTACAGGCACGCACCACCATGCCCAGCTAATTTTTTGTATCTTTAGTAGAGACGGGGTTTCACCATGTGGACCAGGATGGTCTTGATCTCTTGACCTCGTGATCCACCCACCTCGGCCTCCCAAAGATTTTATGGTATGTTCATTGTACCTCAATAGAGCTGCTTAAAAACTACTGCTGCCAATCACTTGAACCCGGGAGGCGGAGGTTGCAGTGAGCCGAGAGCGAGCCACTGCACTGCAGCCTGGCAACAGAGCGAGACTCTGTCTCAAAACAACAAAACAAACAAAACACAACTGCTGCCAGATAACACTGCAGGCAGCTAAAGGGTCAGGGCGGGGCCACACAGTGGCTACACAAACGGGGGGAGCACTTTGTTCACAATAAGCCCACCCTCCTCCCCAGGAGTCATAAACTCAGGATGGGGCAGGTGTGGTGCAGCCATGTTGGGGGCACTGGGCAAGACCTCCCAGGCCACACGCTCAGGAAGAGCTGCACCGGACCAAGTGTCTCCTGGAGAGCGGCAGTGCAGCCCTCGCCCTTTCACTCATCCAACAAAGCTCCTGAGAACTTGCAGGTCCCAGCCCAAGTTGCCGACAGGCCAGCGTGGACTCACACACACACGGAGTCCCTTACAGGACACAATTGCCCCAATGGAAACTCCTCCTGAGCACAGCCAGACCTCTGGGAAAGCCAGTGATAATCAGGACCACCCCAGTCCACAGGAGAGTTTGTTTCATTCTTGGGACCTTGGATTGTTGTGAGCTACAAAACTTCCTGTACTGAAACCATGGTGGCCTCAGGGTCAAACAAAGGTTGAGTCCAGCTAGTCCCTAATCAAATATCCAGGAGGCAGACACTCCTGAACCTCCCTCCCTGCTGTCTTCTTGCTGCCTGATACGGTTTGGCTGTGTCCCCACCCAAGTCTCATCTTAAATTCCCATGTATTGTAGGAGGGACCTGGGGGGAGGTAACTGCATCATGGGGACAGGTCTTTTTCATGCTGTCTGGTGATAGTAAGTCTCAAGAGATCTGATAGTTTTTTAAGGGGGAGTTTCCCTGCAAAAGCTCTCTTTCTTTGCCTGCTGCCACCCATGTAAGACGTGACTTGCTCCTCCTGATCTTCCACCATGACTGTGAGACCTCTGCCGCCACCCGGAACTGTAAGTCCATTAAACCTCATTCCTTTGTAAATTGCCCAGTGTCAGGTATGTCTTTATCAACAGTGTGAAAACAGACAAATACACTGCCTTTGCCTTTGGGGATCAGCACCATATCCTGATGCTGAAGTTACCCAGGAGAACCAGGTCCCCAGGGCTCTGAAATCAGAAGCAACTTTCCCCAATGGTAAAGAAAATGTCTGTGACAAGACGGAAGTAGCTGAAGAATATGAGTTTAGCTCGTGGCTGAGTGACAGTAATAATAACATCTGATATTCACAGAGCTCTCACCAGGTGCCAGCACCACTCTAAGTGCTCTGCACATATGTGCAAGATCTATTGCTGCATTTGCTATTCACACAACCCTAGAAAAAAGGCGTGATCCCATGTTACAGATGAGAAAACCAATGCTCAGAGCCAAGCCCCTCCTGACACATCACCCTGGGCCACAAAGCAATTGCCACTCCCTTCTCCCTGCGGCCTGTCCATGACCCTGTGTGGAAACGCTTCCCCAGTCATCTGCGTAACATCTCTCAGACCTTCAAACATGCCCAGTAAGTCACCACAGTCAGCGCAGAAAGCATTCCAGTGTAAGCTTTCCTACATGGTAAACGTTTTTCAAAGCACTCACCTCAACTCTTTCCATGATTAGATAAAAGTGCAAGCAAGCTGTAAGGCAAGCGAAAGGTTATTTTACAGCCACACGACCCAGCTAAGTATTTTAAGTGCAGCCCAGAATTATAAATCCCATCTGTAGAGGGTGGCTTTGGGACTGAAGGCAGCTGGATAGAATTACATGCTCTTAGACCTGGAAGGAA